TTATTTTTATTATTTCATTGCTTTTCAATTGCTATATTTACATTTTTTATAATTTGATGCTTGCTGTTGCAAGTCACCGGAGGGGGGGGGCAAATGTAATAATAAATAAAAATAAATAAAAATTTACAACAAAGCTGGATCAGAAGGACGCAATAAAACACAAAAGAATGATACAACCAGCATAAAAACAATTTTCAATGCTCCAAAGCAAGACTTCCCTCAATACATGAAAATTCACATTTATATGTGGGGGTACGGGTAATTTCAATAGTTTACTATGGGTAAACTACTTACCCACAAACTACAAGACAGACAGAGAGACATCAAAAGCCAAGCCCTCTCTCATATAGCCAATACTTTTACTTTCTTTATACAGGTAGTCCTCGGCTTACGACCACAATCGAGCCCAAAATTTCTGTTGCTAAACAAAACATTTCTAAGTGAATTTTGCCCCATTTTATGACCTTTCTTGCCACAGTTGTTAAATGAATCACTGCAGTCGTTACGTTAGAAACATGGTTGTTAAGTAAATCTGGCTTTCCCTTTGATTGGCTTGTCAGGACACAAAAGGCGGTCACATAACCCTGGGACACTGCAACCATCATAAATATGAATCAGTTGCCAAGCATCTGAATTTTATTCATGTGACCATGGGGATGCTGCAAAGGTTGTAAATGTGGTCACTTTTTTTCAGTATTGTAACTTTCAACTGTTCTAAATGAACTGTTGTAAGTCGAGGACTACCTGTAGTGATTTGTGGTATGATTTTCTAACTGGATTTTTTTAAAAAGTAGTTTGAGTGGGATATGGTTAGATCAATACTTCACAAGACTTTTATTTTAAAAAATACGATTGTGTAACTATAGAAGAGGTAAAAAAGCAAAAAGCTTAAACAGTAGCAGAGATGCTGCTCCATCAGTAGGTCTGCTTTACAACTCATATACTGAAGTCTTATTCATTACTAATTGCCACTGAGGCATATACTAGTCTTTTAAGTTCAAACAACATGGTTGTAAATAAGATAACAAAAAACTAAGAAATGGTTTAAGACTTTAAGACATTTTTCCTTAAACACAGTTTAATTTATGGGTACAATAAACTACACAGTTTAGCTTATTAAAATAAAACAGATGTGCAATTTGTTTGAAAAAAAGAAACTATATTTAAATATTAGAAGCTAGAGGATCTGAAAGCCACCTCATAATGGAGAAAATGTATGTGGTTGCTAGCAGTTGACAGTGACTTAATGGCACATAATCCAAAACTTCAAATGCTAATGTAGAAAGCTAACATAAACTAGCCAAGGTTAAGAGTAATGATACAGTAGTCCTTGACTTATGACTGGTTGCTGAACGATCACTCAAAGATATGACTCAAAGTTACGTATGACCAAGTTTCAAAGTTCTACAGCCATGCTGCCTGCAGTCACGTGATCACATGTTGGGCATTTAGCAAATGGTCATATGACTACAATTTTTTGCATTTACTTCTGATTTCTGGCAAAAAAAAATATCCATTGGCTAAAATGGGTTCATTTTATAATTGCTGCACAAAAGGACATAAAATTGGGTGCAATCACATGGTGACTCAATTAATGACCACAACATAGAACTATAACTTCTGTAGTTTGGAATTCATACATAAATTTAAATTTAATTTTTTCATATGCTTGTGGTAAATAAGAGAAAGGTAGATGAACACAGGAAAGCTTGGCTAATTATGAAAAATTATTTATTAATTGCATCAGAAGCCTAAGTGTTCATGTTGTAAAGGATATAAGATTCAGACATTTCCTCTTTTAGGGGGTAGGCGTATCAGGAGTCATTAAAAAACAAAGTACAAATAGTTTCTCACCCAAGGATAGCTGGGAAACCAATACAATGTAGTAAGCGCTACATTCCTTAAATGTATTTTGTGCAATAGATACATAGCAAAAAAAAATTCAAGGATGCAAGCTTTGAAAAAAAAATTGAGATAGCTTTGTTAAAGAATATAAATCTAACAAATACTGGATACTAGCAAAAAAAAAGATGGGATTTTCAGGGAAATGTTTTAAAATCAAAGCATAAACTACACTTTCCTTAATTGTACCTGAGTCCTGAGATAGGAACCTGTTCCACACTAAACCATGGCTTGCTTAACCATTTTAAATTCAGTACCTGAGACATAAAATAGATTGAGTGGCCATTTGGTGGTCAGGGCTGCACTTAACAGTTTTGGGAAGCATTAAAACCACAATGAGTGGGATGATGAAATAAAGAGGACATGTAACAGTGGAGTCATTCTTCCTTGCCTCCCATGTTAGAGGTTTTATTTAATTTTGGCCTACAATGTAGCTTACAGTACAATTTTCCTATATTTTCTATCATGAAAGAATAGAAAGCCATTCTGTGAAGGCAGAAAGTCATAGTGTGAAATTTTGATTGAAGTAACATACAGGGGCTGCAAAGGGCAGTTTTGCAGGCCATATAGCAACAACTAGTCATGTTTGGCTACACTCTTCTTTTAGCATACAGGTATCAAACTCGATCGCATCACGTGACATATTGTGACGTATTGCGACGTTTTTTGCCTTTGCAGAGCCAGGATGGGCGTGGCCTGTGCGTGACGCATCTGGCCCGCAGGCTGCCAGTTTGATACCTGTTTTAGCACATTCAACAAATGGTTTCAGTCTTTATCTTGAGGAACAAGTAAAAAACGTTATTCCAGTATTATCTCGAGATGGTGGTTAAAAGTGTGTAATTGCGGCTATGCGAGGACAGAAGATTGTTGCCACAGGTTAGTTAGCTACAGTGATCAAATGGATTCATATTTCCAAGAAGACCCCTCCCCCCCAAATATTGGGCATGAAGGTAAGGTATCTCCCTTCCTCACTGCCCTCAATACAGGAAATTTGTTGATTGGGTAGCTTTACTGCAAACTTATCAGGCTGCATTAGAAAAGCTACTTCTCCCAGCCTCAAGCCCCGTTTCCACACACTTCAATCAATGGCTGTATTTGCATAGCATGTTTGTAATGAATTAAACCACAGTTTAGATAATTTTATGAGTTCATATAATATACTGAACCATAAATTAGCCACAGAGGATGGGTTTATTCAACACAACAGGCTAAAATGTGGCTGGCTAGTTCATAGTAGCTGTGGCATGTAAACACAGCCATACTCATTTAGTCTGATCACACATGTATTTACAATGGTTACTTATCTTTAAAAGCATATATGTAAAATAGTTGCATTAATAGAAATGTGTTATGACTACTAGATACTGGCAACATTCTTGGGGAACTTTAAAATCTATAGTTTGAATTCATTTGCAAGAATTCAACCCATGATCTTAAGTAAGTTGAGGATATAAGTGACCTGTTACAGGACTGTTGAAAGACAAGATAAATAATACAATGGTACATTCAAACGCAAGCAGAATAAAGATGTTTACTCCTGAATGTTAGAATGATGTAGTAAAGTATTTTGAACTAGGGAGATCAAAGTTCAAGTCCACCCTTATCCCACAGAGGAACTATTGTGAGGAAAATTGAAGAAGTGCTACGTATGCCACTTTCAGTTCTTTGTGGAAGTAGTAATTTGCAACACTGGTCTACTTTACTGACTAAATGTGAAGTAAACAAATTATATATCAGTGATAAAGGTCTCCCGATTCTTTGTTTGGTCAATGTATTTTGCTGACTTTTGTTACTGAAGGCAGGGGTTTATACAACTATAAGACCACAAAACGTATTAGTCTAGTGAGAGCTTGTGGTAAAACAACTTGGCTTGGCATTTGTGCTGGTAGAGAGGAGATTGAGGTATCTCATCTTTAATAGATCACACACACACACAAATAAATAAATAAAATTATTTGATTATTCACCAAGATCTTCATAAAAAATTGCCACAGCATAGTGGCCAAGTCACTGAGATGCAACCCAGAAAGCCTCTGTCCAAATTTATCTTTCTAGTTACAATGGATGGCCTTTAAAAATTACAACTTTATTTATAAAATTTATCTCCCACTCCCTTTCAGAAAGCACAAGACTCTGTCTTCCAACTTTATACCCACAACAACCATGCTTGAGTAGGCTGGGCTGAGAGACTGTGATTGGCCCAAATGAAAGGTTTTTAACAGAAAGTTCACATAGTGACAATATTACCAACTTACCTTGCAAAGCTACAGTTATGGAAGCTGAATAATGTCAATAAGTTGAAAATGTAAGACCACTATTTATCATTAAGCATATTTTACCTTTCTTTTTTCAGAAAGGATCCTAAAAAGGACTGCAAAAATCAATAATACAGCACAGTTCCTGTTCCAGGGTTTTAATGTAAAAAAATACATTTATCGGAATCAAAGGGAGAGGAATAACAAAATTCAAGCACAAGGCCCAAAGGGAGACCTTCTTTCACTATTACACTAATGAAGAAATCTTGCACAACTCTTCTCTTTCCTTCCTTAACAGAGCTACTAAAATTAGAAACAAAGATGGAAGGTCAGAAAAACCTAAGATGTTAAAAAAAAAAGGAAGAAGAAATCATCTCCCTTTATCCTAAGGGCCAAAACAGATTTAGAGAGAGCAATTTCTCTGGTTGAGCCACTCCCCACATTTGGTGTTCCCCGAGGGAAACAAAGGGAACAAATTCCATATGCAAAAAACAAAAACAAAAGGGAGGGAGAGGAGAAGGCAGTGTATATATACACGGAGTAGGAGGAACAGCAACAAATGCACCCACCAATGCTTAAATCAGCCTTGTCCTTAATTTGGCTCCTTGCAGAAAGCCTCGGGCTTCAATTCGCATGACATCCAGCTAGCATGCAACCGCTGGCTGGGGCTGAGGGACCCGACAGTCTTAACACATCTGAATCATCAGGTTGGGGGAACTTGTGACTTAAAATCTGACAGATGCTGGAGAGGGATGCGCTATCACCGACATTATGGCCTAGCCCACCCTTCACGTCGCCTCCCCCCCCTCCTCCCCCGGAGGCTGCCAGCCTCCTCCTTCTCACCTCATCCTCCTTATGGTTGCGGATGCCCCGCACCAGGTCCTGCAGGTTCTTGTCGAACATGCGGTCGATGCTCCCCTTCACCATCTTCAACGCCATGGTGGAGAGTAGCGGGAGAAGCCAAACTAAATGGAAAAGAAGGCAGCGTTCCGCCTAGAAAGGAAGACACGCCACAGGAGTCAGGAGTCAGGCAGAAAAAGGGAGGTCGGCGGCCGGTCACATCCCCGCGTGCTTGAAAGAGCGTCCTGGTTTGCCCACCTGCTCCCGCTTTCCTTTTTCTCGCCTCCCGCCCCACCGGCGCTTTTCTGAGGTAAACGCCGGAGCGGCGGACAAAATGGCGGACAGTCAGCTGAGTGGACGCAGGCCACACCTCCTCTCCTCCCGGCCAGCCTCCAGTCCCAGCATCCCGACCGTCTTGTGAAGACGCGGCGTTCAAGTTTAATGAACTACGCTAGGAACTGTCTGAAATCTATGGTTGTTCCATAGAGTAAGTTAGCGAGGATGGTGAAGTGCGTCACATCCGCCTGCCGTTCTCTCCTTTGCTTCCTCCGTCTCTATCGCTAACTTTGCTCATTGGGCCGTGTCAGTCCACGCGTCGACTGAGCTGGCTTCTTATTCTCCTACGGCGCTTAGATGCGAGAACAATGGCTCGAGAAGCACGCCAAAAACCTCTTAAACATTTTCAATATTTTTAATACCATATGACAGGGATGTCCCGCAGTAGTTGCCTGTCTTCCGCGTAGTACTGAACCGCTCGCAGTCTAGCATGTTGTATGAAATCAACCCCCGTGGTTAGTTTCATGGTTTAATGCCAAGCAGTTTAGTCAGCTTAACTTTCTGGGTTTCTAAGATAGGAATAAGAAATCTAGATGACCGTTGGAGCTGAAGCCCGTATTTGCTTTTATTCTCTAGTGATTTTGGAATATTTTGCTACCGTGAATCTAGAAAACAAGATTAAAATTAGAAGCTTGATTGTGTTAACCTCAGCAAGCACAGTTAACCCCCTAGTTCAGGGGTAGGCAACCTTGGCTCTTTTATGACTCGTGGACTTCAACTCCCAGAATTCCTGAGCCAGCTTGGCTGGCTCAGGAATTCTGGGAGTTGAAGTCCACGAGTCATAAAAGAGCCAAGGTTGCCTACCCCTGCTCTAGTTTCTATGACACTGAATTATAAATCGGCTTCATATGCTGGGACTCGACATCACATAACTTAGCTAGAACAAGGTTGGGTATTTTGTGTTCTTGGACCGACTGCTATTACTGTTTTGTTTGTGTTTGTTTTCCTTTAGTTTTAGAGTACTGCTTTAATGATTCTTTTATTATGCATTTTATGTTTTCATTTCTGAATTCAGATTGGTTTCAATTGTTTTACCTAGTGAAAAGGTGAGATTATAAATTATTGTAGTTACATTTTAATATATCCTGCATTTCATTCAAACATTTTAATTGTTTCACTTACTTTAAAATAACACTCTCACTCTGCAGTTTTACTAACAATGTAAATGGAGAAAAAAAGCATAATACCAGTTCTTAAAAGTGAAATATTATTAGCTGGTTATATTTCAGGAAAAGTAGGCATCTGCTGAAGGTAGTTATCAGCAAGGATAAAGAGACTCTCATTTCAATTCTAGTTGGTTTACAAATCTGGTAAATGGGACATACCTATTTTGGACTGCAAACCCATTGAAGCGGGCATTTCTAAAACTTACTTAGATATACTGGATTAGTTTGCACTAAAATCAGTCTTAAAAGCTTTTCTCTTAGACAGAACCAGGCCTTTCTCCTAATATAACCATTCTGCTGTTGCTCTAATTCAATCTAAAAAAAAAATCTGAGCTAAACCAAAATACAGCATATCGTGGTTCCACTATTCTATCTCAATGACAGCGAGTCTCTTAAGAAGTAGGCATAGCACCAATTTTTTCTCAATTACTAACTATACCATAATGCTGGATAATTAATTTCATTTTGAATTCTCCTTTTCTGAGGCTTCACGGATTTTTCAATCCAGACCAATATAGACATTTCTGAATTGAGCAAACTTGCTTTAAAATGGTGGATGGCTGTAGTCTTAAGAGACTGGCAGCAGCAATACTGTTCAGAGATCAAGATACCAGTACTAGTACATGGCTTCATGGGATTTGTCTATAGTCTGTAATCCAGATTTAATTTCAATGGAACCTCTGACAGTGTGGATTTTGTTGTTTTTTCTTTCCCTCTACGTTACAATTCTATGAATCAAAATACAGTTTCCAGTTTGGAAGGGTTGTGTCATAGAAAGTAACAGCCACATTTTCAACTGAGTTTAATCCAAATTTCTGAACATCCCTTTTGTATTCAATGGAATTATTTTTATGGTAGTTGTGTTTAGGACAAAAGCCCCCAAAGAATAAGTGTATATCACTTCTGTAACTTGATTCAAATGTCCTATACCTTGGATTGATTTAATAGGGACAAGTTGCCTGTTATGCTAAATTATAAGCCATCATATCTAGAATTTAATGGCTATTCTACACAATATGATAAATCAGAACCAAGCACAGACTTAGGCAGCTCTTCTGTGTACATTTCTGTTGAACAGATATTGCTTTTCAGTAAATACACAATTTTAGCATTCGTGTCAATATACTTGTATTACTTTTTCCTATATTACCCTTATTTATAATTGATTCAATTAAAAATATGCAGGATAGATTATTTAGTTAAAAATAACTAAAACCAGTAAACATGATATGCTTTTGAAACAAAGTCAAGTGCACTTTAGGAAAGTAATTAGAATTGTACACTTCAGTACAATATCCTGGCCTTTCCCAGCCCATGCATCTTTTGAACTGCAACTTTCTTCCTCCCCAGCACATCTAGAGGGCACTAAACTGGAAATGGCAGTTAAATATGATGCCAGTATAGTTTTGCTTATTTGTTCCAGCTGAGGGCAGTACAACACAAACCCATGGAAACCTGTCTTTAAAAGCAGTATTTTGGATTATTGCATTGTTGTCTGGGTAGACAGACCTGTGGAAAAGGGACTGTTCTTTTCATTTATTATAAAATGGCTAGTTGAAATAATACAAAATTACAAAACATGCTTAACATTGCAGTGAGCCATGGTCATATGATGGTGATCTGATCTAATTTATATAGCTACCAATCTCACCAAAAGTGACTCTGGGTGGTGAATAATAAAGCTAAAACAGTGAAGAAATATATAAATGTATTCATTTATTAATTATAAAAACATTTAAAAATATAAAAAAACAGAACAAACACGGAAATAAGAGAGAAATCGATGTTAATAAGTTTACCTGTCCTCTGGGGTCCCCAGGCTTGCTGGCATAACCAGGTTTTAAGGGATCGTCAGAAGTGATTAGGGCAGGCCAACCTCATTTCAGGGGGAAGAAGATTCCACAATGTGGGGGCCACTTCAGAAAAGGCATGCTGCCTAGAGCTTGCCAAATGCAGTTCCCTCCCTAGCTGACAGAACCCAGAGCTTTCTCTGCTGGATCTAGCTGGAAGAGGCAGTCCCTCAAGTAATCTGGTTCCGTGCTGTGACGATTTTGAAGATCAACACCAGCTCCTTGGATTGGACCTGGAAACAAACTGGTAACCAATGCAGCTCTCAAAGCAAAAGTGTAACGTGTGCGTTCTGCCATATAATTGCGTGTGCCACCACGTTTTGCATCAGCTGAAATTTTTTGAAACTCTTCAAGGCCCCCATGTAGAATGCGTAGCAGTAGTCTAGCTGGGAGGTGAAGAACAGGGAAGGGATGACCAAGTTTTCAGAAGCAAGAACAATGGGGAAGCTGGTAGGAAGTTGGAAGTTATGGTCACATGTGGCCCTCCCTTAATGATGGCAACTGAGATTATTAGAGCTGCTGTTGCTAAGCAGCGGGGTCATGTAACATATGCTTTCTGAGCACATTGCTTAGTAATGGCCAATGATCCCAATTGCCATTATAAACGGAGGGCTACCTGTATTCCAGTTTTCATTGAGGATCTCAAAAACAAGAGAAATAGTGCTCCCTAATTCTATTTTCCCCCACCAACAATCTTGTGAGAATTGGCTCAAAATAATCCAGGGAGCTTCTGTGGTTGAGAGTACCTAGATTTTACAGTGTTTCTCAACCTTGACAATTTTAAGGCATGTGGACTTCAACTCCCAGAATTCCACAGCCAGCATTGCTGGCTGTGGAATTCTGGGAGTTGAAGTCCACATGCCTTAAAATTGTCAAGGTTGAGAAACACTGACCTAGAACCAGCATCAATCAGCTCTTGGTCTAATACTGTAACCACACTGGCTGTTCCCCAGTTGATTGAGATGGTTATACTTCTTTTTCCCCGTCACTGCTGTCAGATTTCTTGCTACAGTACAAAATTTCATGGGGGTAGTAATATCCTGGTTTCAAGTATGTCATATAAATTCAACCAGGCAGAATTTTCTAAAATGGATGATGTTCAGAGTTTAGGGAGAAGAAAATGTTCTCGTCTCCAAATTCTGGCTCTTGTTCAAGAAATAGAAGTGTTTCTAGGTTTGGTCAGTATTTTTCTTTCTAATTGATTTGTCCTTGTAGAATATGAAAAAATACAACAAATACAACCTTTTGCCCTGTATTTTCCTTCACATTCCAGGGTGGGAAGTTGAGAATTCATAATCTTGAAAGGTAAGAGAGACGAGAAGACTAAAGCAGAGGTCACCAACCTTTTCATGCTGGTGGCCCAGAGGGAAAGGGAGCAGCTGGGCAATTTGTGTGTGTGCGAACGGGGCTGCATGCACCTGCATGGCACTAGTGACCCCGTTTGCGCATGCACACGTGCTAGCCGCGACGGCGGCTAGCACCCACATGCATGTGCAAATGGGCCGCGCAACCCAGTGCTAGCAGTCCCATTTGCGCATGCGTGCAGGCACTAACCACATGCACGCGCAAATGGGCTGTGTAACCCCTGCACACGCTAGTGGCTTCATTTGTGCAGGTGCTAGCCGCCACCGTTAGCCCTGCGTGCATACACAAATGGGTCCACAGGCGCTAGTGCGAGTGGGTGTAAGTGCGCACACACACGTGCACACACTGGCCAGCCTGTCATGTGGCCAGTAGGCCACGCCCCGGTAGTGGGCTGCGGCCCATAGGTTGGGGACCCGTGGACTAAAGGATAAAATACAGTCACTAAAAATATTAAGATACTTTTCTGTGTTTAAGTTCATGTATATTTGAAGAGATGCAGGGTAGCCATATTTTCTCCCTGGTACCGCTCTTTGAGCTTTTAATAGTTCAACTATCTGTAGAAATTGTATCAGTGAAGTTTCCCAACTCAGAACTGAGAGGA